GCAGCGATGCGGCGACGTTCAAGAAGTGGTTGGTTGCTGGCCAGCCTGGCCATTTAAATCTACGCTTCATAGCAGTATAAGCCATCTCAAAGTGTCAGCGTGATGAGACTGCCCGAAAACCATTTTGAGCCAAACTGCGTGCGCGCAAGCTCGCGCAAGCTGCGTGCAAGCACGGCGCAAGCCCGCGATTCGAGATGAAGGAATATTGGACACCCCCCATATGGTCCCTAATAGTAGGTACTTTGGCCCTAATAGAGGGTAGGAGGAGGGTCTAGGTCCTTCATTTTCTACTAGCCACCAGGAAGGTCTACACCCCATTGTGGTTTCCATCTCCTCCATTGTCTCAGTTCCAAGGAAGCACCAGTAACCCCTTCAACCCACACAACCCCCCTAATATTAGATATTTGCAATATGTTGTAATATACCACAAAGGGAATGTTGGGAGGGTGGGGGCCGTAAACCCTAAAAGTCTCCCCTACATATCCCTTTGGGGGTGGGGGAAGAGGGGCTTAAGTTGAATATGAAAAGCCCTAAAACCCTAAACCCCAAACCCCAAACCATTGAACCCTAAACCGTAAACCCTAGACCCTCTACCCTAATCAGGTCACACATGGGCCTCCTGAAGGCAAGCTCTACGGCAAGTCCGGCAAAGTGTTGTCCCTAAGCTTTTTAGTGGTATAGTCCCCCGTAAGTAGATAGAATATGGGTTATATGGGGATCTTATTACACTATACCTAAATTCAAAGCCATATTCTATCTATTTAAGGGGGACTATAGCCCTGACTCATCCTAGAGCCCTAGGGCCCAAAGCACTAAAATGGTCTTTTTGGGCCTAAAGCCTGAATATTTGAGTCCTGGGACCTTCGGGGTAGATCTTAAAGAAACATGAGATGAACCAAAATTACGGGTACCTTGTTGAGGGTCCCCAAATTAAGGACCATTGCCTTTTGGGGGCCATATTGGGATCCCCCGATTTTGGGAAACTACCACATTAGTGGAGCGAATGAGGTTTTGAAAGCCGCTCTTCGTTCCATGTTTGTTCTTAGGACTTGACCGTCCAGTTGTGTTTTGCTTTCTGGTGTAAACAGCATTTTTCGAAGTACTGTTGATGGTGGAAATCTTACCAATCCTTAAGTCTTTCAAAGTCCAAGGGTTTACAGTAGCTTAGAGCCCCTCTGCTACGTGGTGCAAGATTTCATCC